CACTGTTGAAGGCTTTGTTCTGTTCTGTCTTTTATTTCCCTTTCTCTTGCTGCATGTACGTGTTTGTACGTGACACATAACACAGATATTTAGGAACCAATTTTGTTGCTATGATTTTGATAAAGCATTTCTGGAACTTGTTGTATTTCGATTAAAGATTTACAGCTCTCCTTTTGCCTCAAACCTCATTTTTAAAGGCCAGAAGAGAAGAGAAATCCCAAACCATAAACCTGTTAAGTGAAATATCCATAGTACCTTCAGTTAATACTATTTCCTTAAAGCAGATAAGTTACTGAGCCCCCTTTTAAAACAAGAGTGTTAATTTACTGTTTCCTTTCATCTGTTGAAATAATTACTTTTTTTTTTTGCCTTCCATAGTTTGTTCTGGTCGTTAACATTTCTGTAAAATTAAGTTTGAAAGGTGCTTTTAATGTTCAGATAGACTGCAGAGCACATTTGGCTGTTAAAATCAACCTACTTAAGGCAGAACTAATGTTTAACACTCACAGCTATTTGAAGTAGTTCACTGCCCAGTTTAATGGTGCTGCCAAGGGCAATGGTCACATTACTTGCTATTATATTTTGGGGGGTTTGTTATGCAGGCAATAAAGACAATCCATGATATTTCTGAAAACATTGGCTTAGATCTTAAAGGTATCATTTTTCTACTAACAAGCTATAAACTGTAATTTCTTGGGGAGTAGCAGGCAAGAAACACTAACCCCTGCTCTTGGCCACGTACTCCATTTAGGAGTCGTAGTTGCATGCTACAGCGTTGGTGGTGAATGACTTTTCCTGTAAGCTCTGTTGAGAACGATGTAATGAAACTGTACAAAAGCCACGGTGATGGTCAGCTGCAGTGGGAGAAGTGATCTTACGTAATGGGAATTGGATTTTTCATTTTGTACGGTATCAAGACAGTGTTAAGACATCTGCACTGGTAGGTGAAGAGCAACCCTGGGGTAGCCCAGCCTGACCTGATGGAAACTTGGGTGCAGGAGACAGGAGGGGCACGGTGTGGAAACAGCTTGGCTGCTGCTTTGTGAACCATCTCGGTTGTGGTCATAGCCCAACCAGCAGCTTCTGTTGCATTGCATTTTTTGTGGATTTTGCTGGTTTAGTTTCTACGAAAGTGGATGTCTCTCTCAGCACCATTTGCATGCTCCTCCAGCGTTGCATTGAGAATAGACCTGCCCAATGGCCAAATTCACTTTAAGCCATTCTGCTACCAAAACTTCCTCGATCTGTGGATTTTAGAACGTAGATCAAATAAGATTATTTATGGGAACCTTCAGGCAAATAGTATAGAAGAAAATGTTAACTAGTTCTTTGTGTAGTGGAGTTGACGGAAACTTTGCTCGAGTCTTCAAGAAGTCCGATGGGAAATGCATAGTGTAGGACTGCCCTGAGTAACCCACAACTGAATGAGTAGAGCATATACATCGTATCTATTCCTGTGTGAGGTCACAAATTTGTAACAAAATGGCTGCTTTTTCTTCTTTGATAAGCAGGAGCAGACAGGGAATTTAAAGATTAAACAACACATCTTCTTAAGCAGAAAAAAAAATTACATATATTTACTAAATATTGAGTTAAGTTTTCCCCTTGGCTAGTCTAGGGCAATTTTACAAGCTTCAGCAATGCTGAATGGATGTTATTGAGAAGTGAATTTGGCTCATTCTTTTTATGCTTTTAATAAATACCCAAGGGAAAGGCAGTTGTTCAAGGAAAATGGAATACAAATAAACATAGAATTTATTCTCAGTAGGCATTCTGGGGAGCTTGGAGCTTGAGTTTTATGCCATAGTTTTTTTTTTTCCTATTACTTGCAAGCAAAACTAAAATATTCATATAAGCTGTCAGTTCTCTAAAGTGAATTCATCCTTTTTAAAAAATAAAACAAAATATAGATTTAGTGGATAGAACAGAAAGAATGTGAAACATAACAAATGACGTTTCTGCTCTAAAGTACATCATTGTAATGGACCATATTATTCTGGACTGTAGATACAAATGATTTTTTTTCTCACAGCATCCTGTAACAATTTTTGAGACACAATCATGCACAAAACATGATTTGTAATTATAGCAGTTTACCATTTTCATCTGCTCCATGCTTATTTCTCATTTGATTGATAATCCATGTACTTGAAGCTAATGAAGGTTCTTCACGCTGCCACTTAATAGACATTATGAGTTTTTACAACCTAAATTTCAGGACAACATTGGCATTTTTCTGTTTGGAAGAAAAAGAAAAAAAAAAGATCCTACTTCACAGTGGATTTTTTCACATCAATTCCTGGGATACCACAGAGAAATACAGTTGGTGGAGAACATTTATGGGCATAAAGAAGAATTTAGACTGTGGATTTCATTTCAGATTAATCATTGCTCAAAAGTTCAAATAGTCCTTCAAAAAAATCTGATTCCCCAAGTAGCCTCCTGTGGAGGGTGAGGTGCACCTTTTTTGGATCCACAGTTATTTTGATTACCAATTACTTAATTTTCTGTATTATTACTAATCTTATTTCTGACATTCTGACTTTGAAAAAAAAAATACATAATTGCATGGTCTAATAGTTGTCAGTTTAAACAAATCATATAAAGAGACTTTTTATGGTTCTAGACTGCATATCCAACTTAGATGCCTTTGTCAGAGGAAATGCAGATTGATTTTTAAATCAGTGTTTACTACTAAAACTAAATCCAGACTTTATGCCTCATAAAAGCAAGAACATATTTTGCTGTTCAAGAGTGACTGAGCTGCAATGCTTCCACAGTACCTGAATAGAGATTGGCTCTTGAAAAACATGTATTTTATTTGATTTCTTAGAAGATATGTGGGAAAATACTTTTCCAGGTAAGGTTCATGCTTCAGTAATATTTTGATCCACTGCTTGTTTTTTATCAGCTGCAGACTTGCATGTTTGCATAAACCACCCAGAAGTAGCTTCTTCACTAGCTTCGTCACCTTAGGTTGCAGTAACCTTTGTGAAAACTTTAGAGCTCGAATGGCAGCGAGTACAGCATCAATACCTTTCAGAATTTTACAAAACTAGCTGATTAAATCTGATTTTAAATACTACTTTCGGTCTAGAACCCTGCCTTTTTAATAATCAATTAAAACATTATTTCATTGTGTTTATTCAGCATGTATAAAGCACTGCTTGACATGTATTAGACCTTGCATAGCAGTACACAGCTGTAGCCCATCCAGCATTTTCCAAATGAGTTTGCACAAGGAATAAAAGATTGCCATCTGAGCAACACTGGAGGGAGACAAGAGCAGACAAAAGGCAGTTAAGCGCTACAAAAAAAGAAAAGACCCTGTTGAGATAGAAATTTCTGAGCAAATGCCTCAATTTCGCGAGGAGATACTGTAGCAGGCAATGTACATTGATTTTAGCACATGAAGTACATTGCATTTGGGATTCATTAAGCTTCATTTTGTGCACTATCATGAATGGGTATGTCAGCTACTCTCTCAAGTAATGCACAGTTTCAAAGCAAGGAGGTAGAATAAACCAAAGTGAAAATATAATGTGCCCCTCAAAGAGAGCAAGCCCGTTTTAAAAGGAAATGCTTTGCTTGCTAAAAGCTAGAAGTCACAGTAGCAGTAATCAAAACCTAAACATTTTTAAAGGATTTTATGCTTATAAAGTTTTTAATATAGCTTCTAAACACCGATAAGTTCATGCTCCTGACTGACCTGATGGGAATCCCACTAGAGCACCGATGCACTAATGGAGTGCAGTGCCTTACTTCTCTCATTTGGAAGAAAATGCGCAGACAAGTCTTTGATACTTTTTAATTACTCACTTTTTTTACTGAATATGGGCAAGGTATTTTTGGTTTTTGGTCACAATTGGTTTCTCAGCTTCTGTACTTGCAGCAGGAGGATGCTTAAGATGGTGCTCTTTTCTCTCCCCTCTGTTTCTCCTCGGGAGCCAGCTGCGGAGCTCGCTGGGGTGCTTCACCGCCTCTCCCGGCTGCGGC